GAGGGTTTGGGGGTATTCAGGAGGGTCTCAAGGGGTTTTGGGGGGGGTCTCAAGGGAGTTTGGGGGGGTCTCAAGAGGGTTTGGGGGGTATTCAGGGGGTCCCATGGGGGGGTTGGGTGGTCGGGGGGTGGTCCCAGACCGTGTCCCCCCCCCGCAGGCGGTGGAGCGGGGGCTGTACCCGCAGCTGGCCATGGACGGGTTTGGGAGGGGTTTTTAGGGGGGGTTTGGGTGGGTTTTTGGGGGGGTTTTGGTGGTCGCGGGGGGGTCCTGGGCAGGTTTTGGGGGGTCCCAGACCGTGTCCCCCCCCCGCAGGCGGTGGAGCGGGTGCTGTACCCCCACCTGGCCACCTACTGGCCCAACCTCCAGGCCGTGCTGGACGATTACTCCGTGTCCAACGCTCAGGTCAAGGCCGACGGCCACAAAGTCTACGGAGCCATCCTGGTGAGGGGCTGGGGGCGCGGGGGGAGCATTTCGGGTGGGGGTCCCGCACCCCTTCAGCCCCACCCCACCCCTGACATCCCCCCGTGTCCCGCAGGTGGCCGTGGAGCGGCTGCTGAAGGCCAAGGCTCAGCAATCCCCGGGGTTCGGGGGTCCCGAGGGGTCCCCCCGGCACAGCCCCCGCCGTGCGGAGCCCCCGAACCCCGAGCTGGGCTTTGGCCGCCCGTTGTTACCGGGGGGCGGCGGGGGCGCCCCCCCCGCCTCCTCCTCCTCTTCCTCCTCCTCTTCCTCCTCCTCCTCCTCCTCCTCCTCCTCGCCGCTCTCGCCGCCGCCGCCGTCGCTGCGGGACATGTACCGGGAGCTCTACGATTTTTTCGGGGACAGCCTGGCCGCTCGCTTCGGTACCGGAGCCCCCGCCGAGCCCCCGAGCCCCCCGGGCGCGGCCGAGGGCGCCCGCAAGGAGCCCCCGGCCGAAGGAGCCGCCCGCAAAATGCCGCAATTGACCAACGCCACGGTGAGCCCGAGGGACGAGGAGCCTCCCCCGGGCCGGCCCGCCCTGCACCGAGCCCCGGGACCCCCACCCCGGCCCCGCGGGACCCCCCGCACCCCCTCCGGTCACCGGCCCGGGGCTCGGGACGTGTTCCAGAAATGTCGGTTCGCTCCTCGGGGGCCTCCCCGCTTCAGTTTCGTGATCGCGGGGCGGCAGACGGGGCGGCGCTGCCCCGGCCGGAGGTTCCAGACGAGTTTCCCGCAGCCCCCCGGGGCCGCGCTGGGTTCCCGGTACGCGCAGCGGCTCCCGATGATCGGCCGGACCGGGCGCGCCCCGCGCCGCTGGCCACGGGCCGAGTACTCGCTGCTGCTGCTGCTCTGAACCCCCCCGGGACCCCCCAGTCCACCCCCGGGACCCCCGAATCCACCCCCGGGACCCCCGAATCCACCCCTGGGACCCCCGAATCCACCCCCGGGACCCCCGAATCCACCCTCGGGACCCCCGAATCCACACCCGGGACCTCCAGATCCCCCCCCGGGACCCCCGAACACCCCTGGGATCCCGATATCACCCATGGATCCCAAAATCCACCCCCCGGGATCCCAGAATCTCCCCCGGCGGTTCCCAAATCCCACCCCCAGGATCCCAAAATCTCTCCCAGGATCCCAAATCTGCCCCTGGGGACGGGGGCTGGAAACGGGCGGTGGGCGCTGGATGGGGTGAGGTGGGCAGTGAAGGTCCGGTGGGCAGGGAGGGGTCATTAAAGGGTGTCCGGTGGTCAGTGAAGGGTGTCCGGTGGTCAGTGAAGGGTGTCCGGTGGTCATTTAAGGGTGTCTGGGGGTCACTAAAGGGTGTCCGGTGGTCATTAAAGGGTGTCCAGGGGTCACTAAAGGGTGTCCGGTGGTCAGTGAAGGGTGTCCGGTGGTCAGTGAAGGGTGTCCGGTGGTCATTAAAGGGTGTCCGGTGGTCATTTAAGGGTGTCTGGGGGTCACTAAAGGGTGTCCGGTGGTCATTAAAGGGTGTCCGGTGGTCATTTAAGGGTGTCCGGTGGTCATTAAAGGGTGTCCGGGGGTCATTGAAGGGTGTCCAGGGGTCAGTGAAGGGTGTCCGGTGGTCATTGAAGGGTGTCCGGTGGTCAGTGAAGGGGGTGTGGTGGTCAGTGAAGGGTGTCCAGGGGTCAGTGAAGGGTGTCCGGTGGTCAGTGAAGGGTGTCCGGGGGTCAGTGAAGGGTGTCCGGGGGTCAGTGAAGGGTGTCCGGGGGTCACTGAAGGGGGTCCGGGGGTCAGTGAAGGGTGTCCGGTGGTCAGTGAAGGGTGTCCGGTGGTCACTAACACGGGGTGGTGGTCAGTGAAGGGTGTCCGGTGGTCAGTGAAGGGTGTCCGGGGGTCAGTGAAGGG